TTCCTCCTGCCTACTATATCACAAGAACTGTCTAACAAAGTATTTCATGCTTATGTAGTACTATGTATTGTAGTCTAAGTAACACCCTTCCCACCGAAGATGTCTTTGATATAATTCCTGAAAACTGTAAGCATATCACTTTATATAGAACTTTGTTCATCGTGTATTTTTGACATAAATGTAGATTTTGAAAAAATCTTATTAAAATGCCATTTATAATTGATTACCAAGTTTTGAGAGCCTCCTTACTTTTTTAATCTTAGGAAAGTACCTCACTTGCCTTTGCTAGTCACAGCATTTCATTTAGCAACAGTACTGCCCATACTGTTAATTATCCATTTTAAATATGTCTAGTTCCTCATATTGTGATACTCTTAAAAGTACAGAGCATAGTAGATTTACCTCTGTACCTTTTACAATTAGCAAAGGGACTGCCATAGAGGAGATGCTGAGTGTGTTTTATAAGAATTCATAAAAATTACCAAAAAGCATAAATTAGGATTTCATGTGAATTAATTTTCTGATGTAGGGAAGAGTGTTTTGAGGATGTAACTGAGTGGCTTTTATAGTTTTGAAATGCTCTTCAGTATTTGTGGCTAGGATTCCAGGTGGGCTTCCTATGCATCACACGTCCAAGCCAGCAAGAGCATACAAGAGGAATTTGCATGTGAACAAACTGGCATGGGGTATAAGTCAAGTTGAATACCAACTGACCTGATAATGGCAATCCAATTGTATCTGTTTTAATCTCTGTACGTTCACATTATATTTTAAAAGAACATTAACATGCAATGAAATTAAGGATCTTGAAATAGAGGGTGGGAGGGGTTACATTAGACTATCCTCGTGGGCCCTAAATACAATCACATGTAGCATTACAAATGAGTCAGAAGATTTGCCACAGATAAGAGTAGAGAAGGTCATGTGTGTACAGAAGCAGAGATCTGACTGTTGCAGCTAGAAGCCAAGGAGATCAATGGCCACAAAGGCTGAACTGGTAAGGAGCAGACTCTCAGAGTCTCTGGAGGGAATAGAGTTGGCTGACAACTAGATGTCAGCCCAGTGAGAAAAAAACAAAAAAACAAAAATCTTAAACTGTCTTAAGTCATAGTTTGTGGTAACATGTTACAGCAGTCCTTGGAAACTAGTGCACTAAGTTACAAGTTGTGATATGCAGACTGCCAATTGGGCCAATCACTTCATGCCAACACCTTGCTTTTTTAACTTAAAAATTGGACAGAATAATATCTAATGTGAAGCAATGACAGCTATTTTTTTTTTTTGGCTGAAGCTTGCTAACTTCCACAATGATTACCAGACATTTGAAATGCACATTTTGCTTGGCCCCTCACTCTCATCCTCAAAGGTACCTGTGGTGACCCCTTGCACAAGTGCAGAAATTGAGCTATCAGACAATGCGACTTTTCCGGGGGCACATGGCTACCAGACAGACACCTACTACGCTGCCCTCTTGCCTTTCATAGACCACAGAGATGTTGGAGACCAAAGGGCTTTTAAAAAGTAAAAGCCAGTAAAAACAAAGATTGTTTAAATAGATATTTTCAGTGTTCAAGTTCTTCGTAAAATTTGACCCAGAAACACATAATTGAGCACTTTTAAGAATTTGGCTCTTGGGCCCAGCACGGTGGCGCAAGTGGTTAAAGGTCCTCCGCCTTGCACGCCGGGGATCCCATATGGGCGCCGGTTCTAATCCCAGCAGCCCCGCTTCCCTTCCAGCTCCCTGCCTGTGGCCCGGGAAAGCAGTCGAGGACGGCCCGAGGCTTTGGGAACCTGCACCCGCGTGGGAGACCCGGAAGAGGCTCCTGGCTTCGGATCTGCATAGTATCGGCCCGTTGTGCTCACTTGGGGAGTGAATCATCGGACGGAAGATCTTCCTCTCTGTCTCTCCTCTCTGTATATCTGCCTTTCCAATGAAAAAATAATAAAATAAATCTTTAAAAAAAAAAAGAATTTGGCTCTTAAAACTGGAATTGATGTGAATCATAATGTTCAACTCGAATTCTGATCCTGTTTACTCTCCTATGTGACACCAAGCAAAAAGTGCATATGAAAGATGATGCAGAGGACCCTGGGTTCAGCTATCTCAATTAGGACATACATTTTATTTTAGACTTTTTGGTCACAGATTTTGAATATACTCCCCCAATATCATGTTGAATTTCAGTTTCTGCATGCTAACCCAACATATCCGCGATTTCCTAGGTTTGTGTATAACTTTTGCTATCATTTGTTCATTCACAGAAATCCAGCAAATCCAGGAGCCAGGAACACCTTTATATTATATTATATTATATTATATTATATTATATTAATAGAAATGCATTTCCTGCATTTCTTTTTTTGCTTCCTAGATCAGCTGAAATGTACTCTAAGGAAGGTTATTTGTAGTTTGTTGCATTCTCACATGTCTTTAATTAAATCAGAAGTAACTTCAGGATAGTTCAAAGGCCAGAGTTGAACATTCTGTCTTAACTTTTAAATTCTAAATCTTTGCCACTTAACATCATGTTATAATAACTTTATGACAGCCTGGAACGAAACATAATTTATTGATGATTTAATGAAGTTTAGGTAACCACAAAGTTTAACACAGTTTTGAGAGCTACTTCCATTTTCTATATCACAAAATATCATTTTTACCATCTTTCTGAACTAAGATTCAAAATCTGTCAAGCTAGACTGAAGTACTAAATCACAAAGTACATTCAATCCTGTAATTTCTCTAATTACTGGTAAGATGCGGTTGCCATCTTACACTCTCTCTGTGTGGGATTATAAACAGCAGCTCTCTGTGACCGGTAGCTCGATGCTATGTTTTCCTGTGTTTTGTGCTTTAAGTAACTGTAAGTAAGAAAAGAAAGATTGGGAAGAATGTTGAACCAAATACCCCTCAATGGCAGACCACATTTATTCTGTTTAGGGTGACACTTAGCGCATGCATTTGCTGCCACATTGTTTTCTGTATGACTTGCTGGCGGGAAAGGGGAGAGTGAAATTAGTGTAAATACTTAGTGATTCAAAGAATTGAGCAGACTTGTTTAAAATGTCAATGCAACTGGAAGCGATTACCAGGGACAAGTGCTAGTGCTCATGTTATTCAGTCATAGTTTGCATTTATATCACACTTAAGATTTTTTGAAAGCATTTTTCTACTTTTCATTTAAAGTAGTATAAAGGAAAAAAGTAACCCTGCAGATATTTCTTGTCCTGTGCCAAATTCCAAGAAGCACTTTTGCAAAAAATATAGAACTAAATTCTGCATTTGTACAGATTATTTCTCTCACCTTCTTCAAATCCTGGTCATATAAGGTTTTGTCTTTATCTAACCTGTTTCTATTTTGCTCATCATGGATTTTTTTTTCTTTTTTTCATTTAGTGTGTACTGAATAAGTATTTGTTATGGGAAAGCTAAAAGAACCTAGAATAAACCAGTCCTGAGGTATTCATTCTGGTCAAAAATGAAACATCATAGAAGAAGAACAATTGAATATTTCATTATAGTTTAAGCATATACACATGGATGTCATGCTTTAACTCAGCAGTATCCAAAAGTATGGGCAAATGTATAATACACATGATCTTACCCAAAGTGCCAAGAAGTGATGGACAAATTTATTATGAAAGAAAACAGCTGGGGTGAGAAAGTGTGTTGTGGAAGTTAGGAGGGTCAGGTGCACCATCTCTAGGATCCAAATGTACATTACTTTTTCTAGCACCTAGGAGCAGATGCAGTTCTAACTGTAATGCACTTCATGGTATTCCATGGAGAAGTGGGTAAGATCTGGTAGATGTGCCTGTAGGAAGTAAATCTCTTTTAGGATAGCTACTCTTCTATTCTATAAAAGCCCTCTGATTGGAAAAAAAAGAGAGCAGCTGCCTCAAATGCAAACTGAGACCAGAGACCAGGTACAACAAAAGATACTAGTGTAACTACTACTCCCAGTAGAATTTTACCGGTTAATAATTAAGTTTATAATAGAAATAAAGGTCGCATTGCATAAATCTCTCCACTGAGAAAAATTTCATAACCTTTGAAAATCCTTTTGTGTTTCACAAAGAGCATGAAACACTAAGAAACGTTGGGTAATAAACAATTAAATCCTTTAATATATATATCATACTCAAATTTTAATTTTGAAAGCTTGCAAAGATTATAAATAAGCTTTTTTTTTAACCTTTTTTTACTCTTTATTTATTTTTACTCTTTATTTTACTCTTTATTTTATGACACAGTTTAATAGGCATTGGGGTTTCCCCCTCCCCCCATTTTCCTCTTCTCCAGTCTCTCACTAGGTGTGTCCCAAGTGCCCTCAGAAGTCCATCGTGCTGCCATTGCGGCATCTTCCAACAATATAGGGGCTTATCTGTTGTTTCACTCTGAGTCATCCTTGTATCGCAAGTACAGGGATATACTCCTCTCTGTTTCTACCTATGGGCATATTTATTTCTGCCACATTTCCATTAGACATTCCCTTAGGCACAAAACAAAATAAAATAGTGAGTCTTCATCTCCATGATGTTGTTGAACTTGTAACAGAGGTATCAATGTGGTGCTAGGATGCTGCAAAAGAATGTCCAACATCTTCCTGCAGAAATAACTGCTAGCGTGTGACCCATGTGGTCCTAAGGGGAGTACAGTATGGACTAGATCATCATTGCTCATGGGTAGTAGTAATAACCATCTCAGGTGATCACAAGCTGTAAGTCTCTCATGAATTATTGATTAATAGGTTACATCACAAGATCTTATTACATGTGGTACAGAGAGCTAGGAAGTGTGATAAGATGCAATTTACAGGTACAATTTTTAGATTTGACATCGTATTATCTTATAATAAGGCAAACATGTGGTATCTGACCTTTTGGGATTGGCTCATTTCCCTTGGCATAATGGTTTCCAGTTGGGCCCATTTAGCCACGAAGAGATGTGTTTCATTTTTTTAAAATAGCTGAGTAGTATTCCATAGAATCAATGAAACAGTTTCCTTATCCAGTCCTCTGTTGATGGGCATTTTGGTTGCTTCCATGTTGTTGAAATTATTGATTGTGCTATTGTGAACACAGGGGTGATGTTGCTTTCTCATGTAACAGGTCTTTTGGATGTATTCCTAGAAGGGATATTGCTGGGTCATATGGTAGGTGGATTTTCAGCTGCCTGAGTATTCTCCATACTGATTTCCATATTTGCAAAGATTAGAAACAAGTTTTCCCAAGTTCTTTGCTCTGTTAGAGTACAGCAGCAAACAAGTGTGGTTAGAACTTAATGTAGCAAAGTTTTTTTAAAGTAAAAGTGATTTGGGATCCCACATCTGCTCTGCTGCTGACAATGTGTGTCCTACTGGGGTAGCTTCCATATTCCCTTAGCCTGTTTCTACACTTAAAAATGTGGGTAGTAATCTCCTCAAATAATGTTAAGTGGTTTAAATGAAGTAGTCCATGTAGCAACAGCTAAAAGAAACAAAATAAACATGTGGTAGTGTTCATATCCAGACACCAAAGACAGAGTGTTGAAAAGGATACATTGTCTATAGCTATTTAGTACAATAAACATTTCAGTAAATGAACTGGATTGTGGCAAATCAGGTTAAGGTACCACTTGTAATCCTTTCATTCCATATCACAGTGCCAATTTGAGTCCTAGTTCCTTTGCTTTCAATCCAGCTACTTGATAATGAGCCTGGGAAAGCAGCACATGATGACCCACGTGCTTGGGTCCCTGCCACCTACATGGGAGACTCGCATGGAATCCCTGGAACTTGGCCTCAACCTTGTTCAGCACTTGCTGTCGCAGGCACTTGGGAGTCAATCGCCAGATGGAATCAATCAATTGATTGATCAATTTTTCTCCATCCCCTCCCTCTTAACTCCTCCCTTTGTCCCTCTGCCTTTTAAATAAATGTGTTTTTAAGACAAATTTACAAGGGCACTTTACTAGTGATGAAATCTTTAGTAGGTAGGTTTTAGCACAAGATATTCTCATGGGTCACTGCTCTCAGAAGGGGTTAAAACAGCTGTGTGAGACCAAATTAGTGCCTACAAATATGGATTGTTTAAATGAGCAAGAGTGGTTTCTCTGACTTCCTTTCTTGCCATGCAATTCCTCTGTTTTACATGCGCTCCCATCATGATTCCATGTGTCACAATGCAATGCAGGCAGAAGGGCAAACCCTGAATATATTCAGAGGCAAAGTCAATGATATTTTTCTGCATGTAAGGTAATTATTCTGTTTTTAATGGTGTTACAACATATCTTGAGATCAGTACTTTGGGAGAAAATGTGTCTATTTAGCTCATACATTTGGAGGTAGAAAGTTGCAAAGTCAAAGATTGCCAGGAAAGATAGTAACATGACAGTGGCATTTCCCAACCATTGAAACACCAAATGGTGAGTTGCTGGCTATGTTCTCTTTGGCAGGCTATACATTCTCACAATCAGCTATTATAGCCTGTCATCAGTTCAGATACATATTACTAAATATACATTCTAATGTAGATGCTATTACTTAAAGTCTTGGGCTACAAAATTCATTTAGAGGCTGAACTATCTCTTGCATGAGAAAGAACAGATGAAAATATAAAGTTCCCTTTTGGCATTTATCAGTTCCCACTTCAAAACAGATGCTAGGCACTGGAAGAGCTGTGGGAAATGGTGAAGTTGTAAAAACGCAGATCAACTTTACCTCATGATTTCTAAGCATGCTTATTATAGATGTGAAAGTTACTTTAAAGCAAAGATCTCCAATAGTGGTTTCATAACACCCCAGATTGTCAGCAATAATTTTAAAAAACAATGAAATTCCATTCCCCCACCCTAAGAATGATTTATATTCATTTAAATATAAAATAAAACAAATATATGTCATTAAACAATTTAATGGTGCTTAGGTGGAAGAGTATTGAAATGATACAAGAGCTCAGCCACAGGAGAGCTACGAATCCATGGTTCATACAGTGGATTGGATCGACACAAATAAATGAGTGCTCTGACCATCCACATAGACTGCCCATTTGGATAGCATTTCATATTCTTTATACAGATTCTCATACTTCTGTGGCTATATTTAATCCTCTAGTTGTTTTACTAAATTATAAGTTCCTAAATACTATCTTTACCTTTTACATTGAACCCTATCATTCACTCTAAACTGTCATTGACTGATGACATACAGATTACATATAGAATCAACCTCACTGAGGGAAAGGAAACTTGGACTTTCTCCTTTCTCTAAATAGGAAATGAAGACTGTTCACACCTTCTGATGACAATGGTCTGTGCTGATGGTTGCTTCCTGTTTGTCCTTCAACAAAGAGATAAAACCCAGCAGAGAAGTGGAAAATTTGTTGATGATCAATGTCTCACCCTGAAAGTCGCACTTTCTAAGGGGACTCAGCCTAGGCAGGATAAAAGAAGTACTGACATTCAACTCTCCCTCTGGACTTTCAAATTGGAAACTTGGCATCTTGCTTGTGTTGATGACAGCAACTGTCTATTACTTTATGCTCAGGCATTTCTAGGCAAAGGAAGGTAATACTGAATCAACTAGTGGTGCAGTTGCATAGCTTTAATCAATTTTTACTCTAAGTTTTTATTTTCTAGTTTTTTAATGTTCTGAAATTCGTATTCATTTATTCCCAAGGCTGTGAATTTTAGCTCCTAGAATGCAAGCAAACCCAGACAGAAAGCATTAATAATAATTAATAATAAGCATTGCAGCATTGGGTTTGGAACCAGATTTGCTCTTCCTGCCCTCTCCTTGGTTCACATCCATGTTTGGTTGGTGCACAGTGCTTCCAATTTTACAGACAGCAGTTCTGGTAACTCTTCTCTCTGGTTTTCAATAGCAATCCTTACATCTATATACTGTGATAATGAAATCCATCCACAGAATCTGAGCTGAGGGTAATCCATCTGAAGTCTTAATCACTAAAATAACCCTCCTCAGAGCCAGTTGTATTTTAGACTGAAGATGCCTAAGATGGGAACAGGCTTTTAAATGACACCTCCTGTTCAAAAGGGAATCGGGCCAGTGCATTAGTGAGCTGCAGGTGCCAGGCCCCGGTGAGACACTGAGCTCTGAAGTCAAAGTTCCATTGTATAAATGGCTTTAAAGATGTGTGTTTGGAAAAGCACCAAAATGTTTCAGTCACCTGATTATGGCAAAACTAAGTCACTACATAGCTCCTAACGAGGCTGGAAGCAATGAGCCAAGCAAAGGTCAACACAGGACATGGAAGGCAGCAGAACGCAGATGCTGATGGTAGGTGCTAGGAAAGGGCACTCATGAGACGACACCATTATCCTCAACTCTCTCAATGAAGAGTGCTTCATCCATTGTTTAGCATCTCAAACCATGTGCAGTTCATTTTTCATTTGGAGTATCAAAAGTTATCAAAAGTTGTTCCGATTCTGCATGAAGATGGCCAAATAAATCTCAAGAATCTGACAAATAGGTGTAGATATAAAAATATATTTTAGTGAAAAGAAGTTATAGTATATTCTCAGGAGGCAGGTAGGAGAAAAGATAGAAGTAAATAGTGTGACTAGACTTTTTTTCCTTCCCAAGGCAGAATTTTTATGTCTCTCTAACCTCAGCAATCAACAAGGAGGACAAACTATCTTTGAAGTAAAATAGCATTCTGGGTGTTTTGTTAGCCCTAGGCTTAGTAACATACAATCGCAACAGTCAATAGCAAGAAAAATCAATTTCCTGAAATTTGAACAGGCACACATGCACGCGTGCACACACACACACACACACACACACACCCTCTGCAATGGAGCACTATCCATTTTATGAGCTCTAACATTTCAATCTAAATTAAATCCAATTAGAGGTAATCATAGTGGATCATATTAAACTAATTCTTAGACAGGAAATATTATAATTTTAAATGGCTCCATAAAGCACTGATGAAAAAAAATCATTTATTTCAATTAAGAGGGCCAATAACCAATACCTATAGGTCAGTGAAAAACGGTCATGGTGGCAATTTCTCTTTTCTGTCTGAAACCCAGCTTAGCTAGGAAAATGCAGGGTTCTGAAGTGATATCCACCTGCAATGGGACTGAGCACAAAACCATCTATCATGTCACACTGAGTGATCACAGAGTTTAGTAATGATAGGAGTGATTACTTAGGATGGATGTAATACTACATTTCAAAATTTAGGTGCATAACTACTTTTCCGTTATTACATATATTTTTCATACTTGATGCATTTTACAAAATGGTTCTATAATTTCGAAAGCAGCAGTAGCCATTTTAAGACTTCCTCATGATAACTCTGTCTAAAATCTTACTATTGTGTGTTGCACTGAGAGCTACCAAGCACCAAACAGAAGTGTTTTTTCCTCCTTTTTACTCAAACACTCAATTTAAATAGGGGAAGAAATTAACACAGCTTTTTGCTTTGTGTAAATTATTTCTGAAAGTTGTCACAAAGTAAAATTTGAGAATCCTAAAAAGTACAGTCATTTTTCATTGCCCACCAAATAGCTATTAACATTTTGAATCTAGCCTGAGATCTGGGTTCTAGAATTAATTGCTACTTCTGCCTTGTGGGCTGTACAACATTGGGCTTATTATCTGTGAGACTGTTATGTTCTGTAATTGGCACCATGCATAGCCGGTAAAGCCACTGCCTGAGGTAATAGTACCTGCACTTGGGCACCAGTTTGTGTCTTCCCTGTTCTGATTCAGATTTAAATTCATGCTACTATGATTGGGAAAGCAAAGGAGGATGGATCAAGTGTATGGCCTCTAGGACTCACATGAAAGACCCAGAGCAAAATTGTGGCTTTGGATTGGCACAGCTCCTGCTGGCACCGGACAGAATCTGGGGAATGAGCTAGTGGATGGAAGATTCTCTCTAGTCCCTGCTCTTGCTCTGTGACTCAGCCTTTCAAATAAATTAAAAATATATATTTCTAAAGAAAGAAATTGATATGTTTCATTATAATTACTGTTCTGGAGCTCCTCTGAGGTGTTTTAATGGTTGCTGCTGCAGAAATGATGAAGGCAGCTGCTAGGGAGATCTTATTCACCCTTTTTATACTCAAATACACATA